AATTTTTTATTTTTTTTTACTACAACATGTGGGGGTGGGGGATCGAACTCATAACCTCTTAGTTGAAAGTATATGTCAATTACCGTTGAACTATGCTCAATATAACTCTAAATTTAGGGAGTTGATCAAGTTTCGTGTTAAACTTTCATTCTCATCAAATTTAACTCTATACTTAAAGAAGTATACTTTCTATTTTCACTAAATTCAGTGACTAAGGATCAGTCTCTTCAAACTTAATTAATTTTAACAAAAATCAAGTTTCACACCAAATTTTCTTAAGGTAGTTAGTAGGTGGTCATCAAGGGAACTCATTCCCTCTTAATTAACCATAGTCCATTTGGACGAATGAACCACTGTGATGGTTATAGTATCATTTTTCTCTAAAGTCGAATTATTTTTTAATTCATTTAATGCACACGAGGAGTACACTTTCATTTTATTTGTTTTTCAAACGAAAGTTTATCAAAAGGTGAAATGTGCAGCACTTTTTGCTATTAAAAAAAAAGGAGAAAAAAAGAAAAGAAAAGAAGGTGCTACACTTTTCCTTTTTCTTTAAAAGTTGTTACACTTATTCAAGCTTGAGGTAAATATTATAATATTTATCAAAATTTAAGGTCAAATTTGGTAAATTTGAAAATTTAGCCAAGTTTAGGGATAAAAATTAACTTTTTCCTAAAACAACTAGTTTGCAAAATATTTTCTAAAAGAAAAATTTTAAAAGATAATAAAATTGTTCTTTTATTTAAAAAATATATTTCAAATATATTTGGATTCTTTTAACTTTCAATTAAATTAAATGACTACGCTATTATACATTGCTCGAAGTTGTGTACCTATGGTTAATTGCAAAATAAAGGTAAGAACCACAATAATGACTTATTATTTCTAAAAGTTTAGGGTTACAAATAGTCATTTTAAAATTTTAGGGATCAAAATAGGATAAACTTAAAAGTAGGATGAAAATGAAACTTTTAAAAGTTAAGAGTTTAAAATAGAATAATTTTGAAAGTTTAGGGAAACCTAAGAATATTTGATATTTTTTTCCTTTTGTTATATTCACTTTTCCTATATGTATGTACAATCACGTGGAAGAACAACACCATATAATATTCCACATGCGATCGGTTCTAGATCATTTGATTGTGTCAAGAAATTCCCATTCATAACGTACACATCGCACCGTCATTATAATGATTGATGGCCCTAACGCCCATTGATCGTGGCGTTCATATCCACATAACATTAGTTATTTTTCAACTTCGACTTGTCACATCAGTCCGTCATCTTTCCGTGAAATATTTAAGAAACCCGTTAGTGTAGGAACCATTAAACCTCTTTCTGAAAAACCAAGGGGGTAAAAAGTGCATGATTTTTAAATATAGGGAATAAATGAACCTATAAACGAAGATTCAATGACCAAAATGATATTTTTCATGCTTGTTTGAGTGATTTTATGTGTTTATTTTATTTTTATTTTTTATTTTTTGTTATACTTGTTTTCTCAACTTATGCATAAATTACTTTCCCTAATATAGGGTTTGATGGTGTGTTCTAACTTCCAACATTTCTCACAGTGTGTTCTAACTTCCAACATTTATTACACTGTCGGAGTCAAATTTAAAAATAAATGTTTAGAAATTTAAAGATAAAATTATTTTAATTCCAATCTTAACTTTTCTCGTTTTATTTATTAAACTTTAGTCTATGAAATTTGCATAAAAACCTCCTATTAATTATTAATATTAGAATTATATGTTGCATTGATTAGAAATTTCGGTTGACACTTGGTGGATTTGTGTTTTATGTCATTCTTTAAAATGGTGTCTCATTTGAAAATAAGATTCATAAGGAATTTGTCGAATACAATAAAAAAAATTCAATAATAAGATGTGTGCATCTAGTAGGACTATATTGGAATATTACTAGTATAGTAGTCGAGGTCATTATGGTAATTAGACAAGGAAAAGTTGGATATAAAAAGAGGTGGAAGAGAAAGAAGAGACATATTTTTTACATATTGCACAGATGACCAAACGAAGATTTTTTTAGAATCCTAAATAATATTTAAGGACCAAAAAATGTGATTAGTACAAACTCCGTGCCGGGAGAATCTACCTTTTTTACGATAAATTCCTTAAATTGTGGGAAAAGTTGTTTGGTTCAAATATGTTGAGTGGTTTCAATGAAAAGACATAAAAATATGTATAGGAACAAAGTTGAAAAGTAACAAATTTTTTAAATATCTTGAAAATTGATCTTTCTCGAAAGACTATCGATATTGTATCATTTTTAACCAGTTAGAAAATATGTCCGACTTTCCTTTCATGTATTATATTTACATACTACCATTTTGACATTAGTAGGTTCATGTGATAGAAATTTGAAAGTCAAATTAATACAATAAACAAACTAGTCCTTCCCCTCAATTCTGTGTTAATCATCTTAACAAGAATCTCATTTCATTTTAAAACCCATGTTCAAGGCTAAAATTGAATATAAACCATAGTCAAGTCATTTGTACAAATATTTGCAACATTCCAGCCGCAACTCCAATACAATATCCAATCCAAGAAGATAAACATAATACTCGTTATTCTAAAACAAAAACAAAACTTATTTTAATAAGTAGGATAAAACAAAATGGATGTATGACACAATCAAAGTTTAAAATTTCAACATGTCGACCATCATTCCCATGTCCACGACGTCTCATCGAGACTACAAGCAAAGCGGCCATTTTGTAACTATCAAAAGAATGCAGCCCACCATCTTATATTAACACCATACTCATTATAACTATCAAAAGTGTATGAATTACACACAACCAGTGCAGAGCAGAGTCGGTTGAAAAACAATACTACAATAGCATCATTCTTCTTATTTTTATTTTTTTTATATCTGTGAGTGTCCGTGCCAGCTTGGACGTATCTCGACTAATCTCACGGAACAACCGACTGACACTACTACATTTGATTGCCAAGATCATTCTTCCTAATTTTGGTGGTTATGTAACAGTAAAAAGTCAGGTAAGGAAAATTTCCAATGAGTTACTTTCTGGCGAGAAGCTTCTTTGGAAGGTTATCCAGAGGGGTGGACTTGAGAAGGAAAAGTCTGGCTGCCCTCTCTTGCAAGGTCCCTCCACATTTTAACCCTCTAGCTTGCAGTTCACGTTTTAGCCTTTCCAATCCAACAACCTGTTGATAATTAAGCCAAAATTATTTACTATTTTATTATGAGAATTATAATGCTACAAAGACGTTAAAACCGTTGGGGGTATGGGAAAATTATAATTGGACTTGTTGAGCATACATACCTCCATTTCTGCAGCAGAACTAAAATCATCAAAATTCAGTGTTGCTTCTTCTGAATTGCATCTACTTGCAGCTGTTTCTTTGGGAGCACTCAACTTGGACACTGGAGA